GCATAGACATGATAAAGATGAAAATTCAATTGTTATAATATGGCATTTTTTACTTATTTATGGTTTATTTCAATGAAATGGAGATTTTAAATATGTTAAAAGTTGTCCACGTAGGTAGGTCGTTCAGATTCAATGTTTATGGGAACATCTTATATTGTTCGGTATACCACATTGTTACGATTTAATCCAAAAATGGTATTCAGTCTCGAAGAAGTAATTTATTGAACAAACAAATATGTTGCTACATTAAGAGGGTAAATAAATATTACATGTGATAAAACAAACAAAACGTGAAAATGCAAATACAAGGAAAGGAAGTAACTTGTAAATGTTTCATGTGGATTGAATTTTAAATTAAGTTGGTTTTCTGGAATTATTTTTATTTTGGCAGCCAAAAACTGATTTTGTGTCTCAACTTTATAAGGGGACAGGAGGTCTTTTTATCAGATCTTTTCTTGTAAAGACAATGACCAAAGCATTCTCTCGTATAAGTTGTATGATAGAATAAACTAGGAATATTTCTTATCTGAAGGAAGTACGGAGTTATTCATGTTTCACCTAGTAGAATGGGGGTAAAACGGAGTTCTTGTAAATGTACAGGTTTTTGATTATGGACACTTTGTTTGTTACACTGTTGTATACACATATGCTAACTAAACTTTTATTACACTCCTTAGTGGCCGATCTATAAATTATGGACCTCTAAAGAATAGATAATATATTAGAGAAAGAAAGGAACATGTCTGGTCCATTCACTTCATGAACTCGTAACTCCCTTTAGGGGGGCATGATGGCAGATAGGGACTACCCACTTGTGTGTCCACGGGCCAGATCCTATTTGAAATGGATGGTGTGAGGATCAAGGAGGCGGATTTACCTTTAAGAACCTCTGCGTGAAGAGGTCGGGTTCACTCCTCTCTATTGCCTTTGGAGAAGGGGTTGGTGACTAAGAGCTGGTGGCAACTGAATACCTTTCACACCTAACCCAGGCTTTTGCCAACAATCTTTCTTTCAAAGGCTGATAGAACCTGATGCTACCAAAAATCGTACCTGTAGATTTCCCGAGCTTGATGACGGATGTGGAGCACGAACGTGATCTTCCGATACTGAAACAAAGGCAACGAGGTGTGTTCTCGTCGCCCCTCCGATGCCTAAGTCAGAAAGGGAAATATATGCGTGAGGCTATGTGCTGAAGAATAATGTAAAACGTACCTGAATAATGGCCCAAGGTTCTGCTTTTATAGGAGTAGGTAGTGTACTCCTAGTAGGATTGTGTTGGTTGGATGTTTTTATCCAAGGGAATTTCTATTATAAAGAGTGTCTTACTTGTAATGGAATTGTTTGACAAGTGGTGTCAGGGTTGATGTAAAATCCTTGGGTGTTTAGGTTTGTTAGTTAGGTACCCAGGTCTTAGGAGGCATGTTGGTGGTGTATGTCTCGAGGACTATTGTCGAGGACATTGAGAGAATGTAAATGTGTCCTCGAGGTATCTCGAGGACTACGATACCTCGAGGACTTAGGGTGACCCCGAGGACCATAGAAGAGAAATGAGGTGGGGTATATATTGAGTCCTCAGGATAGACTCCTCGGGATATATCAATATTGGCATAGTCACTGGCCCCCGTGCACTCGTCCTAGAGATCGAGCTCTTAGGATGGGGTGCACATGGGTTATTTCATTTCTCGAACCTTCGTCGAGAAGTGATGGCTGATGATATAGGTCGAGATATGATCGTTGCAGAGAGTGGCTTGGATTTGTGACACGTGTCTTCGTGGACGGTCATAGATAGCGACCTTTGGCCTCCCATCATTTTCACCTATAAATACTATTGTTCTCACCTTCATTTTTCACTTTTACCCACTGTAAATCAGAGTTCTGCGAGGTCGTGCTCGAGAAAAACACTTTGGGAACTTCTCAAGTCGTCGGGAATTCCAGGTAAGGCTCGAGAGTTTAAGTTATTCATAAGCTAGGTCTTAAGTTTGTTAAGTGATGTCGAGTAGTGAGGGTCGAGAATCTTCTAGCAGTTCTAGTAGTAGTGAGGACGTAGGGACCTCGATAATACCAACAGCTATTCCCCTAGAGGCTACTCCCGAGGCCCAGGTTAATATGGTTTTTGAGTATCCCGACGAACCCTGTAGGCTTAAAGAGCACTCAGTCATAGCTGCAGCTAGGGAATATGGTATAATGCCTAATTGTGATGTTCGATTTCCTGACCCCAAGGATATGATTATTCGAGCACGACGAGGGGAGTTTGTTATTTTTAGGGAGACCCTTAAGGCTGGCTTTAGGTGGCCCCTTCACCCCTTCTTTATTGCTCTATTAGTCGAGCACTCCATGTGCCCGGGGCAGTTAGTGCCCAACGCCTGGAGAATGCTTGTTTATTTTTTTATAGCATGTAGACACTTAGGTATCGAGCCCAACATTAGCCTCAGCAAATTAGTGTTCGAGCTTAAGAAGCATGCTCGATACACTTGTTTTGGCTATCTCTCGACGATTGGGGGCTTTAAAGTCCCGAGGATGGCGAGCTCTTTAAAGGGGTGGAGGGAGGGGTGGTTTTATGTTATAGCCCAAGAACCCGATCTTCCTTTCTGGCCTGATTGGGAAATCCCCGATGCCGAGAAGGTCTGTGAGGGCTAGGTGTATCCGGATGTTTTGGAAGAGCATAGGAGGATGCTGGTCGGGCTCATCCCCCTTTTCTCGACGATGAAGGAGATTGGGGAAGAGGTTATAGACCTGGCAGATATTAGAGGCGTCGAGGGTAGGGATGTTCCTTTATTATTATTTTTTGAAAAATACCCTCACCTTGTGCTCGTTCTAAAATGTTTGTAAATATTTGCAGGTTTGCCTTTTTATCCTCGGGCTCTCCGGAACTTTGTCAGTACAAGGGGAGACGCTCATCCACAGGGGCAGCCCCCGAGGAAGAAAAGCAAGAAGAGGCCTTAAGGGGCTCCTGAGGGTGCGAGGGGGCCTGGCGAAACTTCTCGAGCACATCCACAAGTCTTGACCCCTCTGCAACCGAACCTCAGATCTCCCACTCCTCGAGTCGTCACTCCTCGGCCTCCTTCTGAAGTGGTTGACCTTGAGGATGACCCGTCTCTTACCGGGGACTTTGAGACTTGCCACCTCGCTCCCGAACTCGTAAACAAATACAAAGAGGAGGTCAAGCTCGAGGATGGGATGAAGGTCCTCGAGGGTCTTACAGTGAAGGTAATCTTCGAACTTTCGACTTTAGCCTCGAGTTTATTGGTCGAGCTTAATACTTGACATTTTCTTCATTTTTTCCAGATGTTGAGTATAGCTCGAGGACTCTCTCTGCAAGGGCTCGAGGAGGCCAAGAGGGCAGTTGGGGTTGAGACGTCCATGGCCTCTAAGGATAGCAGGATTCAAGACCTCGAGGCACAGGTCGAGGTTTTATTGAAGGAGCGTGATGACGCGAGGAGGGAGGCTGCAAAGGCCAGGGATGACCTGGTTATAGCAAAGGATGAGGTCGAGGGCGCGAGGCTTGAGCTCATCCAGAAGACAGAGGATTTCGGGCGCGAGCTCACGGCTGTCAGGGAGAGGGCCTAGGAGGAGTTTAAAACCTCCGAGGACTGCGACAAGATAAAAGGGGAGTATGCGTCGAGGGCGTACTTCCATGCTCTGAAAGAAGCCCGGGCCTTCCTCCGTCAGAAGTTTCCCGACGTCACTCCAGACGACCTGAAGACAGTACCTTCCATTGCTGATACATTGGAGCTCTCGGGTTCGAAAGATGGAGGAGGATCGGGTGGAGATGATGAGGACGGTCTTGAGGACGACGTTGAGATCGACATCAGCAACCTCGATCCTCCTCTTGGCCACATTGGATGACTTCCCCACCCCGATCCTTTGTAATTTTTTGTTTAATTTTGACGATGTAAATTGATCGAGGACTATGTATGTTCTAAAGTTAGTTTATTCGAACTATTTATCTCGACCCCTTGGACTCCATACATTCGAGCAAACAAATTGGAAACTAACTGCTCATGCGACATTGAAGTGTTTACTCGAGGATTCCACAACTCGAGCGCATTTAAGGGATTAAAAAGTGACAGACATACATTCTCGAGGACTGTAATCCTCGAGCACAAATATATAAAAAAATGATGATGTGACATTCTCGAGGGCTGTAAACCTCGAGCACAATTAATCTTAAAAATGGTAATGTGCATCTCGAGGACTGTGTCCTCGAGCACAACTAATCTTAAAAAATGAGTACCATTCTCAAGGACTGTAATCCTCGAGCACAACTAAACTTTAAAAATTGATAGTGACATTCTCGAGGACTGTAATCCTCGAGCACAACTAAACTTTAAAAAGTTGGGTTGTGATTTCCTCGAGGACTGTAATCCTCGAGCACACTAAACTTTAAAAAGTTGGGTTGTGAAATCCTCGAGGGTGTCCAAAATGATGTGGGATTTTTGTATGTCCCTGGGTGATACTATAATGGTTTACGCTTGAGTATATGATCAAGGCTTTTTGTGCTTGCGCAGGGCAAGGCTTTGGTGCTTGCTTGAGGCAAGGCTTTTTTGACTGCTTGCCTGGGGCAAGGCTTTTTGTGCTTGCATGGGGCAAGGCTTTTTTGAGTGCTTGCTCAGGGCAAGACTTTTCGTGCTTGCGCGGGGCAAGGCTTTTTTGAGTGCTTGCCTGGGGCAAGGCTCTTTTGTGCTTGTGCGGGGCAAGGCCTTTTGGAGTGCTTGCCTGGGGCAAGGCTTTTTGAGTGCTTGCCTGGGGCAAAGCTTTTTTGAGTGCTTGCCTGGGGCAAGGCTTTTACTAAAGGGCTGTTATACCCGAAACTTGAATTTACTAACTTTTCGGACTGGACTTGGATTTATATTGTATCCAAGCTACCTACGTGCCCAAATGGGATCAAGCCGAACGTAGTTCATTACAAAAGAGAACGGAAAACATGCATGGGCACGAAGGCCCGCTAAACTAGAAATAAAATACAGAAAAAGAAAATCTCCTAAAAGGCGTCGGGAATTTTACTTGTAATATATTTTTAGATTGTCGGCATTCCAGGGCCTCGGAAGAGGTCTGCCAGAAGTGTCTCTTAGGCTGTATGCTCCTTTGCGAACCTGTCGTATGACCTCAAAGGGCCCTTCCCAGATGGGCCCGAGCTTCCCTGGGGGGTGGCCTGCTGCTTCGGCCCTCCTCAAGACCAAATCGCCAGCTCTGAACCTCCGAGCCTTGACTTTGCTATTAAAATGTTTCGCTGTCTTAGTTTGGTAAGAGGCCACCTTTATAGCGGCTTGCTCCCGTACTTCTTCCAAGAGATCAAGATGTTCAGTTGTATGCTCCGAGGTTTCTGGCACGAGCCTCCTATGGCTTGGCAGTCTAATTTCCACCGGGACCATTGCTTCAATGCCATAGGCTAACATAAAAGGGGTTTCTCCTGTGGTTGTCCTATGAGTTGTTCTATACATCCAAAGTATAGAAGGCAGCTCGTCGGACCAAGAACCCCTTACATCGGTTATTCTTGTTCGGAGGTCTTGCAATATGATTCGATTTGTTACCTCGGCCAGGCCATTGCTCTGAGGATACGAAACTGATGTCAGACGGTGATCAATCCTAAGGTTTGAGCAAAAGTTTCTAAACTGTTGGTTGTCAAATTGCCTGCCATTGTCGGTGATGAGGACCTTTGGTATCCCAAACCTGCAAATGATAGACCTCCAAGTGAAGGTTCTTAGCTTGGGCTCCGATATTGTGGCGAGGGGTTCGGCCTCTACCCATTTTGTGAAGTACTCTACTGCTACAGCAACAAACTTTAATTGGCCTCTTGCCACAGGAAAGGGGCCAAGGATGTCAACTCCCCATTGTTCGAACGGGGCCGAACAGTTAATGTTGGTGAGATCTTCGGCTCGTGAGTGGATAACATTACCAAACCTCTGGCACCTATCACATCTTTTAACATATTCTAAGGCGTCTTTTTTCATAGTTGGCCAGTAGTATCCATATCGTACGAGTTTAAAGGCCAAGGCCCTGGCTCCTTGATGATTCCCGCACACACCTTCATGAACTTCAGCAAGGGCCTGGGATGATTCTGATGGCCTGAGGCACCTTAGGTATGGAAGAGTAATACTTCTGCGAAAGAGGACACCGCTGATCATGCAGTACCTAGGAGCTCGGGCTCTGATGCTTCTGGCCAACCTGGCATCGCTTGGTAGACTTCCGCTTGTGATGAATTCTATGATCGGGTCCATCCAGGATGGTTCGTTGTCAATGTCCATGATGTTGAGGATTTGACTGATGCTGGGTTCTGTGATGATTTTAATGTGAACCGTTCTGTCAAGGCCGTCTACCCCCATGAACACAAGCCTGGATAATGCGTCGGCTTTTCCATTGTCCTTTCGAGCAATTTTTGTAATTTCACAGCTCTTGAATTTTCGTTGAAGATCCTGAACCTTCATACAGTACAAACTCATTTTCTCCTCCTTCCTTTCAAATGATCCTTCAATCTGTCCGACCACTAGCTGTGAATCACTGAATAGCTTTACGAACTCGAGCTCTAGGCAAAGGGCTAGCTCAAGAGCAATAACGACGGCCTCATACTCTACCTTGTTGTTGGTTGCTTCAAACTCGAATCTGAGAGCGCATTGGATCTCTGTTTGTTTGTCAGGGCTGATGATGATGACCCCTGCGCTCGAGCCTGAGGAGTTCGATGCTCCATCCACAAATATTTGCCAAGTGTCCAAATTAGTGCTCATGCTCGAGCTATCACCTGGCCCCCGAGGCCTAGGGGTTAGTTCTGCAATGAAGTCGGCCAGAGCTTGGGCTTTGATAGATGGGCGTGGTTTGAATTCTATGTCAAATTCCCCAAGCTCTATTGCCCATTTCATCAGTCTTCCTGATACGTCCGGCTTCTGAAGTATATGCCTAAGTGGTTGATTAGTGAGCACCACAATAGGGTGAGACTGAAAATACTGCCGGAGTTTCCGTGCTGCTATAACCAAGGCAAGGGCAAGTTGTTCCGCCAAAGTATACCTGGTTTTCGCATCGAGTAGGACCTTGCTTACATAGTAGATAGGTTGCTGGACTTTGTTAACCTCTTTCACCAAGACCCCGCTGACAGCGTTTTGAGATACGGCCAAGTACAAAAATAAGGTGTCACCAGGCTCAGGCCTAGTGAGAATAGGGGGAGATGCCAACGTCTGCTTGAGCTCCTGGAAAGCTTTCTCACAGTCTTCACTCCAATCAAAGCCTTGGTTTCCTCTGAGGACTTTGAAGAAGGGATATCACCTGTCTGATGCTCGGGACATGAACCTGTTCAAGGCTGCTATCCTCCCAGTCAACCTCTGTACCTCTTTCTTGTTCCTTGGTGATTCCATAGACGCCAAGGCTTGTATTTTGTCAGGGTTGGCCTCTATCCCCCGATGAGTGATCATGAAGCCCAAGAACTTGCCCGAGGCCACGCCAAATGCACATTTTGCGGGGTTCAACTTCATTCCGTACTTTCGCAAGGTGTTGAACACTTCTTCAAGATCTGAAATATGTTGGTCCACCTGTTTGCTTTTGACCACCATGTCATCAACGTACGCCTCCACATTCCTTCCAATCAAGTTAGTAAAGACTTTGTTGATGAGCCTTTGGTATGTTGCCCCTGCATTCTTCAAACCTAAAGGCATGACCTTATAATAGTATATGACAGAATCGGCCATGAATGAGGTCTTTTCTTGATCTTCCTCGGCCATGAGGATTTGATGATAACCAGAAAATGCATCCAAGCTGTATAGCTTATGTCCAGACGTGCTATCCACCAAGTTGTCAATCCGCGGTAGGGGATAACTATCCTTTGGACATGCTTTATTAAGATCTGTGAAGTCAATGTAGACTCTCCACTTACCATTGGCCTTTTTCACTAAAACAACATTGGAAAGCCAATCGGGATATTGGACCTCCTAAATGAACTGAGCACTAATGAGTTTGTTAATTTCTTCGTGGATGACCTCCCGACATTCTGGGGCAAACTGTCTTTTCCTTTGTTTTATTGGCCTGGCCGCTGGGCTAATGTTAAGCCTGTGGACTGCAATTTTAGGGTCTATCCCTGACATATCCTCAACCTTCCAGGCAAAAACGTCAATGTTGCAAGATAAGCAACCAACAAATTCTGTCTTTAGGGTGACGTCAAGATCCTGACCAATAGTCACCTTCTTATCATGCTCGAGCTCAATTTTCATCAATTCTTCGACAGGGGCAAGTCTGACTTGCTGCCCGTCCTCGGGATCAATCCTTGAGATTTGCATGACGTCGTTATTTATTTCCCGAACGCTGGCAACATAGCATTGTCTGGCAGCTGTCTGGTCTCCACGGATAACCCCAACGCCATTACTTGTTGGAAACTTCATGGCCAGGTGGAAGGTAGACACAATGGCTTTGATCTTGTTCAGAAGTGGTCTTCCCAGAATAGCGTTATAGGCCATTGAGACACGTACCACTTGGAAAGATGTCATCTCCGTAACCTGTTTCTGGCCAGAACCCAAAGTTAGAGGGAGCTCGACGACACCTTCTGGAGTGATGACTCCTCTCCCAAACCCTTGGAGAGGAGTTTTAACCGCTTTGAGCTGCTGAGATGAGATTCCCATTTTGGCAAAAGCTTCTTGTGAAAGTATATTGGCCTCGCTCCCGTTGTCAACCAAGATCCTCTTTACTTCAAAATTGGCCAAAATCGCTGAGATTACCAAGGCGTCATCATGTGGGAGTGATACGCCTTCTAAGTCTCCGGTCCGAAAAGTGATATCCTCTAGCTTTCCATGAGGCATCCCAGAGGCCAAGGCATATCGTCGGGCATATTGTTTTCTTCCACTGTTAGAGTCTCCTCCCGAGGCAATACCTCCAATGATGATATTGATGGTTCCAGTAGTGGGTTGACCATCCCTTTTTGCCTCAGGGTCTTTTTTCCTGCCACGATCATTCCTCGAGCGCTTGTCGTTACCGACGTAGGAGCTCAGGAGTCCTCTTTTAATAAGGGCTTCAATCTCCCGTTGCAGGGCCTTACAGTTCTCCATGGTATGCCCATGATCCCGATGGAACTCACAGTACTTGTTCATGTCCCTGGATTCCGGTGGTGACCTCATTCTGACAGGCCATTTCAGTTCCTTCATATCCTTGATCTCCATCAATAGATTGGTCTTTGACGTATTTAAACGCGTGAACGGCGCCGGGGGAACCTCCTGTCTCTGTTTTTTCCGATGTTGTTCTTCATGGGGGTTCGGGTCATGCTGTCTTTTATGCTCGACCCTTTCATGGGATGGTCCAACCTTTCTCGGGTTCAGTGTTTCCTCCATATTTATGTACTTCTCAGCTCGGGTAAGAAGCTCGGTGACTGTCTTTGGTGGAGTTTTGGATAAAGACATCTTGAAAGCCTCGCACTTTATGGCATATGTGAGGGCAGAAACTGCTGCAGTTATGTGTAGGTCGGGAATCTGAAGTCTTTCCTAGTTGAACCTGGTCATGAAGTCACGTAGGGTCTCATTTTGCCCTTGTCTAAGTTGCATGAGGGAAGCCGATGTCTTCCTTATGTGTTTGCTGCTTGCGAAGAAAGCGTAGAACTTGTCCGCCAAATCCGAGAATGAGGCTATGGAGTTGGACTCTAAGATTGAGAACCAATCTCTAGCAGCATTCGCCAAAGTTTGCGGGAAGGCCTTGCACATCACCTGATCTGGTGCAACCTGTAGATTCATGACGTCCGTGTATATGTTCAGATGATTGATTGGATCGGTGGTCCCATCATATTCTTTGATCCTAGGATACTTAAATCTGTCTGGCAAGGGGAATGTTAATATCTCGGGAGTAAATGGAGTGTTGAGACTGAATCTTGTCGTCCCTTTGTTGCCCTGAAGTAGGCCCGCCGTAATTCCTTCTTGAATAATCCTAGCGAGTTCCCCGGACTCCATGGTCACTGATCTCGAGGCCGAGGTCACATGTGGTATACCCGAGGCCCCTGCTCCGCCATTGTCAGGGACATGAGCTCGAGCTCGAGTATCAGCCATGAAACCCCCTTGGGGTGCCGGTGTGGATGACGGATGCGAATTTCTTTGACTTAGCAGCTGAGTCAATGTGGCGATCTGTTGTCTGAGCTCTTCAAAGGCTCCAGTAGTGACGACTGTCGACCGGGGCTCTGGCACTTCTGATGATTCCTCTTGAGGAACAGGGATATTCTCAGGAGGGGGTTGGTTTGGAGCGGATGAGCTTGCGGGTGGAAGACCTGATCGTGTGTTTACCATGGCTTTTGGTAGCGCTTCCCACAGACGGCGCCAATGATGCTACCAAAAATCGTACCTGTAGATTTCCCGAGCTTGATGACGGATGTGGAGCACGAACGTGATCTTCCGATACCTGAAACAAAGGCAACGAGGTGTGTTCTCGTCGCCCCTCCGATGTTTAAGTCAGAAAGGGAAATATATGCGTGAGGCTATGTGCTGAAGAACAATGTAAAACGTACCTGAATAATGGCCCAAGGTTCTGCTTTTATAGGAGTAGGTAGTGTACTCCTAGTAGGATTGTGTTGGTTGGATGTTTTTATCCAAGGGAATTTCTATTATAAAGAGTGTCCTACTTGTAATGGAATTGTTTGACAAGTGGTGTCAGGGTTGATGTAAAATCCTTGGGTGTTTAGGTTTGTTAGTTAGGTACCCAGGTCTTAGGAGGCATGTTGGTGGTGTATGTCTCGAGGACTATTGTAGAGGACATTGAGAGAATGTAAATGTGTCCTCGAGGTATCTCAAGGACTACGATACCTAGAGGACTTAGGGTGACCCCGAGGACCATAGAAGAGAAATGAGGTGGGGTATATATTGAGTCCTCGGGATAGACTCCTCGGGGTATATCAATATTGGCATAGTCAGAACCTATCTGTTTTTTGGGTTTGACTCCACAAGTGATCCATAAACATGGCTGTTCATCAAAGATTTATGAGTATCTCATCGAGACGGGGTGACATGTTAACTCTCAGTGAGTTTTATTTTATTTTATTTTTATGTTTTTTGGGGGAGGTAGTGAATTCTGTCAGTAATCAAGCCATTATGAAGAAGGGTTTTCAATTTTTTTCCCCTGAAACCATTGTGGTAAAAGATTTACATAAGGTAATTTCATGTTGTTATTCCATGTTAACTAAGAGCTCGATACCATCTGGCAGATTAATAATTTATAAATCTTTGATGTCTACGTGTCTTTGCTTGTAGTTGGATTTAGAAAATATTTTGGACTTTTAACTAGTTAATGCTAGATATCTCATTGTTTCTATTTGTCAAAAACATTTGTTCAATTTAAAACAGGAAAGTGGAACCAAAAAGCCTATTATTGCTTTCATCGATGGACTTACTGCTCCACATGGTCGGCGTTTGGGTCATGCAAGAGGTCCTGTATTCTTGTCAATTCTCAAAATTCAACAATTCTATTTGTGGCATATTATTTTATCTGATTCCTGATAAACCTAAAGTGAAAACACATGAAAATGAAGAATTTGTTTGCTTTCTTTTTTCATTTTTGTTTGATGTCTTACAAAAATATGTTGGAATAATTCCAAATATGTGCTTCACGTTCGATTATAAATTTTATGGGTTAGATGTGTTAGGAGTATGACTCAAATATGAGTCTTTTGAAGAGGCGTATTCGACTTGAACTAGGAGAATATGAACCTAGGGTTTAAGGAAACTAAGTTGAATAAGGAAACAAAATCCTGTTGAAATTGAGTTTCCTAATTGTAATATATTTTCTTGCCTTTTAGGACTCTTCTAGGGTTGACCTATAAATACGAGGCTCCTCTGGTCAGTTTGGAGAGAGTAACATAAAAACAGTATTGCTAGTTTGTCTTGTATTCTCCATATTGTTCAGTTTAATAAACATCGTTCTCTGCGTTAATCTCTTTGTGTTTTTTTAATTACTTTTTAACCTTGTTTTTCGTGGTGTGATCTAGTATACTTCAATATTGTTATTAAATCTCGTTCTTTATAATCCCGTTTGGAGTCAATATGTGTTATTGGAGCTTTCGCCCCCCAACAAGTGGTATTAGAGCTTGATTCCTTTCATAAATTGGTTGAGATTTTTTCGGGATGAGTGAGTTGAAGTATGATATTCCGCAACTAGATCGCAATACAAGATTTTCTTTATGGCAAGTAAAGATGAGGGCTGTTCTGGCGCAGTTGGATTTGGACGATACGTTGCTGGGTTTTGAGAAGATGCCAGCTGATTGGATAACGGAGGAGAAACAACGAAAGGATCGGAAGGCTGTGTCGTTGATTCATCTTCATTTATCTAATAATATTCTGCATGATGTCTTGAAAGAGAAGATGACTGCTACTTTGTGGTTGAGACTAGAGTAGTTATGTATGACTAAAATTCTTACTAGTAAACTGACTCTTAAGTAGAAGTTGTATTCCCATCGCATGGTGGAAGGATGATTTTTGGAAAATCACATTGCTATGTTCAAGGAAATAGTTGCAGATTTGGAGACGTTAGAGGTTAAGTACGATGAATAGGATCTTACCTTGATTCTGTTGTGTTCACTGCCTGAGTCTTATGCGTCATTTCGGGATACTATCTTGTATAGTCGACATACTTTGATTATAGAAGATGTCTATGATGCTTTGCACTCAAAGGAGAAAATGAAGAATTTGGTTGGAGCTACATCAAGGGATGGGGAAGCTCTTGTATCTCAAGGTGATCAACGAAGAGGCAGATCAAGAGTTAGATTTAGCAATGTGATCTATTACTACTGCAAAAGGAAGTGACATATTTGGAAGGATTGTGATATGTTGCAGGCTAAATGTGATTTAGCTGCAAATCGTAGGGTGCAACCTTTGAATTCAGACGAAACAAATGTAGCTGAGAATTGTTTAGAGAGTGAAGATGTGATGTTGACCATGGTATCTAATGTGGAGTCTAGGCCTGACGAGGAGTGAATTCTTGATTTCGCATGTTCGCACCATATGTGTTTCGATAGGAATTTATTTCAGACATATGAGGCTGCTAGTAAGGTGAAGTTGTAATGGGAAACAACCAATCTTATCGTATTGCTAGGATCCGTTGAGTTAGATTGAGGCTGCGGGATGGAACATTTAGAACAATTGATTAGGTTCGATATGTTCTTGACTTGAAAAAGAATCTCATTTCGCTAAGTACCCTGGATGCAAAAATGTATAAATTCTCTGAAGGAGGTGGAGTCTTGAAGGTCCGAAAAGGGAGTACGAGTTTTACTAGAGGGAGGAAAAGATCCTAGTTGTACATTTTGCAGGGGAGTGCAAAACCAATTAAGAGGAGACATTTGGACAAGTTTAGTACCGTGGTGGAACTTCAGTTTGGTACAGTACCTCTTGTGTTTGGCTCTGAGTCGATTCAGAACACTGCTAGGGAGAGCGTTGATGATTCTGCTTTGCCATCAATTTCAGCGGGTACACTATGTTCAATTACTGGGGTCGGACTCATCGAGCGTAGGTACCATGGTGTCAGCAATGTCTGGAATGCTTCTGGGGATGTTGAAGGCGATAGTTCCAGCAAGAGACCTTCTGATCAAGTATCTGGTTTGGTTATTGCTATAGGGTGTGTTTCGACCCTGTGTGATCAACATTAATTCCTTAGTGGAATTGGGAACCCTGGGGATTGGGTTCGGGTGTCGGTTGTGGACGCCGAGCAGAGGACAAGTGTTTGGTTTATATGGAGTGGTTACTGTGTTGATGAGATTTGGCCAGTTCATTCATTCGTTGCACTAGAATTTGAGTCAAGGTGGAGATTGTTAGGAGTATGACTCAAATAGGAGTCTTTTGAAGAGGCATATACGACTTGGACTAGGAGAATATTAACCTAGGGTTTAAAGAAACTAAGTTAAATAAGGAAACAAAATCCTTTTGAAATTGGGTCTCCTAATTGTAATATATTTTCTTGCTTTTTGGGACTCTTCTAGGGTTGGTCTATAAATACGAGGCTCCTCTGGTCAGTTTGTAGAGAGAGTAAGTATTGCTAGTCTGTCTTGTATTCTTTATATTGTTCAGTTTAATAAACATTGTTCTCTGTGTTAATCCCTTTGTGTTTTCTTTACTTTAAACCTTATTTTTCGTGGTATGATCTAGTATACTTCAATATTGTTATTAAATCTCGTTCTTTATAATCCAGTTTGGAGTCAACGTTTGTTATTGGAGCTTTCGCCCCCCAATAAGATGTATGACTCATAATGATATTTGTTGTTACGCCCCTATTTGAACCACTTCGAAAAGTCTTCCACTGTGTCATACGAGGTGTCCAACACCCATCCGAAGTGGATCTTAAGTGATTCCATCACCAATGTTGGCGAGCCGCTAACACGCTGCGAGGCACGAACAATTGTACCGAGCCAACTGAACTGTTCTTGGCTTTGACCCCCGAAGTACAATGCACTCCGGCGACCTCTGTCAGAGGATCCGTCGCCAATTTCAGAAAGAAATCTGTGTCAGGATCCTCTCTTCCCCCAAAGTTTAATTGATTTGACGTTCCATGGGCCTAGTTGATGTGACGTATCAACTTTATATCAACTCAACTCGGGAGAAGTTATTATCCGCTCACTCTATAGACGCGGCTGATTGACGCCTATGAGCAGACGCCTCACACCGTCTGATGCATACACGTATCCCACATCTAACGGTTCTCCTCAACTATAAATACCCAAGGTTTGACAAGAGACAAAGGTAATAAAACTCTTAAAACTTAGCTCTCCATAAAAAGTAAATATATATTCTCCTCTCCACCCTTTTTGCACAACCTTAGCATTGTTTCGAACACCAGGAGCTAACTTGACCGTCGGAGTGTATGCGGCCGCCGTCACCCCCGCTCCGGCCGTGTGCATTTGACCTTGCTTAGGGAGGATTACATGGAGTAGCTATCAGTTGACCACGTGGAGGGTCCAATTAACGAGGTCAACAGATTGACGTCGTCTGTGAGAATCACTTCCCATCCAAAGGTCTACATTCTCCACTAGAAAAGCCACTGGAAAACCCTTGGCTTACCCCGAAAAGGTGACGTTCTTGAAAAAGAATAAAGTCGAATTACAACCCAGATCCTCATCACCCTTGAAAAAGGAGTAGATAAGATGAGTTCCAGCAATGAGGACGTGAACCCCAGGATGGACGCCTCTGAAGAAAAGGTGCTCCGAAACAATGTCACTCACTAAAGGCCCCATCACCAGCGTCGTCGAGGTGAAAGAATGACCATGCTCACTGAAGGAATGACCCAAATAGCTGCGGGCATGGGAGAGATC